CAATACGGCAGTCCTATCCCATTGAATTCTCTTTGCTTCTTCATTATTTCCACTGACTGTTCCCTTCACCAGCAACAGCCCCAAGCCACCTTTACCGGGGCCTTGAGATTCAGACTCTGTGCGGCTGTAGTTTCCCAGCAGCATGTAGACATCGCTGTCAACTGCCATTGTCGTTGGCTGCATTATCTCCGCTGCATTGCTGCCAGCCGCACCACTTGTCTCCTCAAAATGTGTGCAAAAGACACGTGCGTCTGTCGTCGGGATCTCCTTTGCGGAATCATCAATTTGATTGAGGGGCACCGACACGATGCCAGTAAAGCTGCTGCCATCTTCCAACTTCTTGCACTGAGCCTCAGCAACGGCAAACACATCATCCCCAACCCTCACAAGGCTGGGGACACGCAGCAAAGTGACGGATGCGCCAGACACTTCAATTTCCTTCCATTTAGCACCAGTTATCGGTGTCGTCCCTGTAAATGGGCCCGAAGCATCCTCTTGGTCACCGGCCGCAACACCACTGCCGCCGCAGCATATCAACAGCATGCAGAGGAGCAGCACCTCACAGAAAAACAGCTGCCGGGGCATGTTGTGTGGGCGGTGCGTGGCGTATGTGTTGCTGGTGGTGACTGCAGGGCCCTCGAAGCGCACAGCAGCGAGAAGCGTTTGGTCGTCTATCTTTCCCTCCTTCTGCCTTTGTGTGTGTGTGGGGAGGTGGGGGGGGAAGTGATGAGGCACAGAGGAAAGAGTAGCGACTGCAGTGGGTTGGGCATGGCATTCGGCATGTACACACTGCCTCCCGCCCCCATGGTTGCCGCTTTTATCCCCCTCCAGCCAGCGGGAGGTGGGCAGGAGGCGGCAGCAGAAGAAAACAAACAAAAGCAAAAGGCAACTCAAACAGGCGTGTGGCTACATGCGTACTCATGCTTCTGCTGTCTGCACATCACCAACGTGCAACACACAAAAAGAAAGAGAAACAAAAACAAAAAAACAAGACGAGCTGCGCACCGCTCCCTCACACGACCGCCATCGCAGCAGCCGCCGCACACGCAAGAAGAAGCAGCGCAAGGGGGGAGGTGCAGTGCGAGGCCGCGGTGCTGCCGTCACTGTCGGCTGTCGCAGTCGCTGTGTGGGTGGTGTCGGCAGCTTGCGGATCTGCCGTTGCCTTCGCACTGCCCTTCGGTGCACCAGCCGCCTTGTCAGGTGCTGCTCCCGCTGACACCGCAGAAACGGAGGTTTGCGTGTCGCCGCCATCCTCCGCAGTGGGCTGCCCAGCCTGAGCATCGCCAGCAGCAGCAGCAGCACCAACTGCAGGAGAATTCTGTGGAGTTGTCCCCGCCTGGCGTCCATCTTTTGT